GAATGAAACACTGCCTGATCCTGGGACAACCTCACAATCGTTGTTATGTTTAAGTCCATTGCTGCTGCCACTGTGCCAACCCATCTCGTTGGGGTCTTTCTCTTTTTCTTGGACCCTCTACTTCACCAAACATGATATCCTTCTCCAGTGACTGATCCCTCCTGACAACATGTTCAAAGTGTGAAATATGAAGTCTGGCCATCCTGGCTTCCAAGGTGCACTTTGGCTGTAGTTCTTCCAACACAGATCTGTTGGTTCTTTTGGCAGCCCATGGCACTTTCAATATTCTCCTCCAACACCATAACTCAAAAGCATGAATTTTTCTGCAGTCTTCCTTATTTACTGTCCAACTTTCACATGCATATGAGGTTATTGAAAATACCATGGCTTGGGTCAGGTGCACTTTAGTCCTCAAACTGACATCTTTACTCTTCAACAATTAAAAGAGATCTTGTGCAGCAGATTTGTTTTGTCAAAAACCATCAGTAGAAATCCTAATAATATAGTATTTGATGAGTGGAATAAATACAAGAAGCCTGTTTTAAATATATTTTAAATCATCAGAAGAATAATTCAATTCACTGAAATGAACTATATCAAAGAGGAGGAAGAAAGATGAGTTGGTAAAAGTGGACCATCCAGTAGACCTTGATTTTTATCATGGGATTCTTAGATGAGGAATGCTTCTGTTTAGAAGGAGGCTTTCAGGTCAGTGATAGGCTACAATCACCGTGAGTAATGGGGTGGTAAAGACATGTCACAAGCATGTCTGTTTTCTTTATCTGGTTTACACCATCTATGCAATTTAAGGTTTTTTTGATGAATGATTTGAGCAAGGAGCAAGATTCTGGCACTTGTCCATTTGTTGGTGTTGTAAATCATGGGTTATTAAGGAGAAGGCCTGAGATTAACTTCTGTGATTGATCAGAGACATGAGTCAGTAAAATTTGAATCATTAATTTATGTCCTGTGTTGCAGACACCCTCAGAGAGCTCTCCTTATCCAATTAAGAATATCAATGTGATCTCTGCTCATTGGATATGGTGAAAGATTAGAAGTGTTTTTTAAGCATGCAAAACATTTTCCAAAGGAAAGCATTTCAATGATCTAGGGATCATATAAATCATTATTAAAAGATGAACTAGAAAGGCCTCATGGTAACTAGAAGAAAATTCAAAATTGTCATAAAAGGTAGGGAATAGGGAGCAAGAATAATGAAACGATTGGAGAAAAACTATGCAAAAATATTGAGCAATTCCAGTTACTAGGATCTGAACAAAGATAGATGAAAAGATTGAGCTCAACTCTAATTGGGAAGGTACAGCTTGTCATCATCTGTAAAAGAATCTCGAACAGTCTGAGCTAGGGAAACAGGAAGAGATAGAAATGTCTCAGACATTTAGTCTCAGACATATAGTGAACAACTCACTAATAAATTCACAACAGAATTCTTGATCTTCTACATTTCTCTATTTTTTGAATACTCTATTCTTCTGGAATAATGTCTCCTTTGTGTATTTAAGTGGGAATCATGTAATTTTTTTCTAATTTTTAATCTACTTTTCTATATATTTTTACATATGTTGCATAGGAGCCTGGTGAAGATTTCCATTTCTTTCATGACTCAAATGACTTTAAAATGAATTTTTCTGTTGTCATTTCTAAAGGTTCTTCTTAAATTATACTTAATCCATCTGAGATTCTGAGGTTGTAGCCAAATATTCATTCTCATTTTAAGCACACACACACAAGAAAAAAATGCCATTGTGTACTTTGTGAACCATGTGCTATGGGAGAGATTTCAAGGAGAAAGTTTCCAATGGCAAAAGTCTTGAGCTTTCTCCACTTTTGATAGAGAAAACAAAGACCAAGACCAGTTTTCTCAAAATAACCCCTGGTCTTTCCATAATAAGATTATATGTCACTGTTGTTGCTGTTAAGTGCCATTGACTCTTAGGAAATCCTGTATAGGATTTCCAAGGAGTTACTTGTGGTTTTGAAATACCAACATTGTGGTTAGCAGTCCAGTGCTTATCCTACAGTGCCACACTAGGAATATTTTACTGTTGTTGTTAAGTGCTGTCGAGTTGATTCCGACCCATAGCAACCCTTATATTTTACTAGAGAACCTAATACAGAGGTGTCCTGTATACTCAACTGATAAGTAGAAGAAATTAACTACAGTACAATCCACAGTATACTTATTGAAGGAAATGATTGTAACTCAATACTATGGCATGATTACCAGTATACCTCACTGGAGATGGAGGATGATGGATGTGTCATTCATAACAAGCTGTTGGCACTAGAATATCACCTGATGAACAAAGAAACAAAAATAAGACAATATTGTCATAACAATCCTAAGTATTGAGGTTCTTTTAAAAAAATTTAAGACTTTGAAAAAGAAGAGAAAGAAAAAAGAAACTTAACTTACCCACCAATACAATTAGAAATATCATAAATAGCCAACAGATCTATCATTGAGATGAACTAAACTGAAGACACATTTTGTCATGGATGTTCACAATGCAATGGCTTGAGTGAGTAGGTATCAAAATTGGGAAATACGCAGTGAAATACCACCCAAGACTGGGGATTTACATCATAAAGGACCAAAAGTAAATTATGTAAAATCAGCTTTAAGAGACTATATGCCAAGTTGCTCTTGTAGCTTAGCGGTTACGAATCGGGCTGCAAACCTTAAGGTCAGCGGTTTGAAACTACCAGCCGCTCCGCGGGAGAAAGATGAAGCTTTCTACTCGCATAAAGATTTACACCCTAGGAAACCCTGTACAGGGTCGCTATGGGTCGAAACCGACTCGATGGCACTTAACAACAACAACAATGCCAAGTTTGAGGAATTGACTCAGATTAAAGCTATAAAAAATATGAAACTTAACTGGGGGTGGAAGTGTACTGATGAACCATCAAACTCCAAGTTAAGAGAAGTGCTAAGGCAAATATTGGCAGTATGCTGTCAGCCACTGCCCAGGGGAGGAGTTAATTGTGGGGCTAAGAGTTTTCCAGTTCCACTGATGAGAACTATTGTAAAGCAAATGCATCAAATGCCACTCAACATTTAGGTCCTTTTATGTCTTTGTCTTGTCCCTTTCTCTCAAAACAATCTTCTGCATGGAAAATATGAGGTGGTTGAGACAATTTATGTTCTCCTTAAAGTTAATTCACCTATAAGTTAATAACTAAGCTTTCATGTTTTATTGGTTTGGATAACGTGACTCTTCCCCCAAAGGTGGCTTCACCCTTGATATGTAAACAAAATTTGGTCTGCAAGACTGAAGGCCCAAGCCCTAATGAATTTATCAAGGTTGTGAACGCTTTTTGGAAAACAACCATAATTTTCCTTGTCTAAATGAATGCCAGTGACCAAGAGTATGCATGTTTCCTTTGAGGCATTATACATTTGAATGTTTTATGTGTTTGAATGCACATGGACTTCAGAGAATGGTAACATGTTGGCAATCAATCAATGAAATAAAGATGGAGCAGGACAGGGAGTGATTAGGAAATTCAAACAACCTTAGGGATGGAAAGAAACTTGAAACACTTCTTGCCAAGTGCTTGGTTGTCAGATCCAATGATTTGAAATCCGTCATAAAATGCAAGGTGCTGTGTGTAGAGATAGTGGGTGTTTAAAAGGTAAAATTCCCATGCAGTGGTTATAGCAGATCAATTCCAAGAACTGTGTCCATCCATTCCTTAATAATGTTCTCAAAATTGTCTCAAAGTTTGGGAGTATCTGAAATACGTCCTGGGAGTCTGTTTTCTGGCTCTTTACTTATTCCTTTTTTGTTTTTCACACTGTACAAACTAAATGAAAGAGACCATACTAGAATGCCATTTCCATGACATCAAAGAACAAAGAATTCTTCTAGTAAGCTCCTAGCTTAAATGTACTAGTGTAATGTCAGAGACACAATGATGGCTTTAAAAATAGCCTGCTGCCCATAAAGTGAATTTAGTCACTGATGTTTTAGAAATACAAATGAAATACTTGAAAACACAATATCTGTGAAAGGAGAAGAATAAATTGCACTGTCAAAAATTTCCTTTCACTGCTAGACAGGCAACTCAAATCACATATCTTCCCAGGGTTCTCTCCAGGGTTTATTTGTGGCACTTTATTCTTCTGTAAGATGGAGCCAATTCTCTTGGTCCTGCCAACTTAGGGGTCTTTGTCAGGTTCAAGATAATATTTATGAAGTAAAATATGAATGTAAACTTCATAAGTTAAATGTTGTAAAAAGAGCAAAATCACAATATAGGCTAGGAGAGAGCAAAGACTTTATTGGAAAGGAATTAGGGAAACTTCCTTGGAGCAGGGAAGTCAATACAAATTAATCAAGAGAAGGAGAAACCAAGACAATAAGATAGTGAGTACATTAAGAAAAAAACATGATTATAAAGACACACTAAACATGATAAGAATTTATTATTTAGGTCACTTAATGAGAGAGCATGAAGGTCACATGTACAAAAACAAGCAATGACTTTAGGTCCAGGACAACCTAAGGACACCTGCAACTGACACAAAGGTCAACAGAGATAAGGAAGAAAATTAAAGTGACTTCAACTGCACTTTATCAACACAAGACACAAAGTGTTTTAATCAAGAAGATGAGCAATAGAAGGATGGTTGTAAGAGAATGCATACGTTTCAAAACACGATGAAAAAGACTCAGAAAAAATGGTAAGGATTTATATAATTCAGGTCACTTAATGAGAGAGTGATGGTGATTTGTCCAAGACTAAGCAATGACTTTCAGCCAAGGACACCAAAAGAAGACCTACAACTTTCATCTGCACTCTACCAACACAATGCACAAAGCGCTTTAATCAAGAAGATGAGTAATAGAAAGTTGGTTATAATATGCTGAATGCAAGTGATGTGTGGTATTTGAGCTTAGGGCAGTAACTGGGGAACTGACATGTTGTTTGTGAGAAACATGGTCGGTGACGGTGATTCTATGGTGGGAGGCTCAGCAGCAGGAAGGTTGGCAGCAGCTGGATCCACCACAAGCTGGGCGGCAGCTGATGTTCCCGAAGCTCTCAGGCAGGCAACCAGGCAGGCTGACGCATGTTGGGAGATAGCAGGTTCTGTGGCAGTACACGGGGCCAGAGCAAGCTGGCTGGCAGCAGCCCACAGGGCGGCAGCAAGGCTGGCAACAGCTGGACTCACAGCAGGTGGGCTGGCAGCAGGGTGTGCTGCAACAGGAAGGACGGCAACAGCTGGTCCCACAAGCTGGTTGGTAGCAGGTGGTGCAGCAGGTGGTTTGACAGCAAGTAGGGCGGCAGCAAGGCTGGCAGCAGGTGGGTTGGCAGCAAGGGGAGCAGCAGGATTGGGCCATGGTGTCAGGTGTGGAGGGTGGGCTTCTGTTCAGAAGTGAGTTTCCCAGATTCTGAGAATTCCTTCTGTCCTGGGGCTTTTATACACTGAACCCCCAGAGTTGGGACCAATGAGCAGAACTTTCCTTGTTGCTCATGTTGTTTTCTACTGTCACTGGGGGAATTGCCAAGGAGGAAGTTGTTCTTCAGTGTCATCCTTTTTTTTAATAATTGCTTAATATTTCTTAATTGAGAAGTATTTATGGAAACTTCTTTCCAGACAAAAGGCAGGTGATTACATACAGCATCATTCCTGCTTCAACCATCATATGGTCATGTGATAGTTCCAGTTGTGTTGGGACAATCAGAGCTGTTGTTCTCCCTTAGTTTCTTTGGCTGTACTTAGATTAGGAAGTGCACTTGGAGAGGCACATGATGCTGATTCATTTACGATAAATTAAAACCCTGCTGGATCCAAACCACTCACCCCAAAAGCCTGATATTAAGGCTACAATAAAAAGATATCCATGGCAACCACTGTACCTGCATATCCCAGTTCTATCAAAGAGGCTTGTGTAGAGGATGTTTGGCACAATCTCTTCTGTCAGGCAAAATAGAAGCAAATCAGATGGATAGAAGGAGAAGCAATACACTGGGATTCAGAAGAACATCAATCACTTTATGTCTCCAGGTGAGCAATCGTCCTGGTTTTCCCAGAGCTGAGGAGTGGCCCAGGATGTGAGACTTGCAGTGCTACTGAAATAATTCTTGAGGAGTTCTCAGCAAACCGGGACAAGTTAGTGATTCTGGTCCTGTGACTGACATATGTTACCTAGTATAATGCTTTCAAGGTTTACCTATGATGTAGCATGAATCAGCCCTTCAGTTCATTTTATGGTTGAGTAAAATTTCATTATACTTATATGTATATAGCACATTTTGCTTATCCATTTATATGTTGATGGACATTTAGATTTCTTCTACTCTTAGGTTATTGTGAATAATACTGCAGTGAACACTAATTTACAATGAACTGTTTGCATCCCTACTTTCAATTCTTTTGGGTATGCATCTAGCTGTGTATTTGTCCGTTGAGTTGGTAATTCTATGTTTAACTGTTTGAGGTATTGTGAATGTGACTGCATCATTTTACAATCTAACAGACAAAGGATGAGGGATCTAATTTCTTCAAATCCTCATCAATACCTGTTGCTTTTCATTTTTGTTTTAACTCATGGCCATCCTAGTTGACTTAAAGTGGCATCTCACTGTGGTTTTGATTTGCATCTCCCAAATGACTAATGACATTGAGCATCTTTGCATGGTCATTTGCATATCTTATTTTGAGAAATATCTTCATAATGCTTTTATTCATATTTTAATTGCATTTTTGTTGTTAAGTAACAACAGTTGTATATATAGTCTGGCTATCACATCCTTTTCAGATATATGGTTCTTCCAAATTTTCTACCAATCTGTAGTTAACTCTTTGTTGATTAAGTCCATAAATACACAAAAGTTTTAAGGCCTAATTTATTTATTTTATTGTTAGTTGTTAATGCTGCTGATGTCATATCTCAGAATTTTTTGTTGGTTTTCATTAAAATTAATTCTCTAAATTGAGAAATAGTTATTCGGCCTTATTGGCTTGATAATGCAAATCTCCAGCACACCTCTGTTAGTTTTTCATACCGTGGTGCCTTGTGATTTACTGTGATTCTGGAAGCTATGCCACCGGTATTTTAAGTACCAGCAGGGTCACCCACAATGGACAGGTTTCAGATGAGCTTCCAGACGAAGACAGACTAGGAAGAAGGAGAGATGAACTACTTCCAAATACTTAGTCACTGAAAACCTTATGAACAGCAGAAAAACACTATCAGATATAGTGCCAGAAAATGATCCCCTCAGGTTGGAAGTCACTCAAAATGTGACTGGGAAAGAGCTGCTTCCTCAAAGTAGAGTTGGCCATGATGACACGAATAGAGTAAGCCCATGGGAGTAAAGCCCTCAGGATCTTCATTTACTGATGGGCACAGCTCAAAAAAGAGAAACAGCTATAAACATCCATTAATAATAGGAACATGGAATGTATGAAGTATGAATCTAGAAGAATTGGAAATTGTCAAAAAGGAAATGGAATACATAAACATTGATATCTTAAGCATTAGTAAGCTGAAATGGACTGATATTGGCCATTTTGAATCTGACAACCTCATGGTTTACTGTGCCAGGAATGACAAATTGAAGAGGAATGCTGTTCCATTCATCATCAAAAAGAACATATCAGGATCAGTCATGAGATACAATGCTATCTGTGATAGGATAATATCCATTCGCCTACAGAGAAGACCAGTTAATACCACTATTATCAAAATTTATGCACCAACCACTAAACCAAGTGAGGATGACATAGAAGAATTCTACCAACTTCCTGAATCTGAACTTGTTCAAACATGCAATCAAGATGTATTGATCATTATCGGTGATTGGAAAGTGAATCTTGGAAACGAAGAGGAAGGATCAGTAGTTGTGAAATATTGCCTTGGTGATAGAAATGATGCTGGAGATCCCATGATAGAATTCTGCAAAACCAATGCAATTCAATTCAAATACCTTTTTTAGAAAGCATAAAATATGGTTGTACACATGGACCTAACCAGATGAAATACACAGAAATCAAATTGACTACTTATGTGGAAAGAGATGGTTGAAAAGTTCCATATCATCAGTCAAAACAAGGCCAGGGGCTCATTGTGGAACAGACCATCAACTGAACATATGCAAATTCAGGCTGAAGCTGAAGAAAATGAAAACAAGTCCATGGGAGTCACAATAGGACCTTGAATATATCCCACCTGAATTTCGAGATCATCTGAAGAATAGATTTGATACATTAAACACTAAAGACCGAAGACCAGAAGGGTTGTGGGATGACATTAAGAACCTCATATAGGAAGAAAGCAAAAACTCATTAAGAAGAAAAGAAACAAGGAAAAGATCAAAATAGATGTCAGAAGAGACGCTGAAACTTGCTCTCCAGCATAGAGATACTAAAGTAAATGGAAGAACTGAGGAGGTATAAGAGCTGAACATAAAATTTCAAAGGTCAGATCAAGAAGACAAAGTCAAATATTACAATGAAATGTGCAAAGATCTCAAGCCAGAAAACCAAAAGGGAAGAACACACTCAGCATTTCTCAAGCTGAAGAAAATGAAGAAAAATTGCAAGTCTCGAGTTTCATTATTGAAAGATTCTATGTGCAAATTAATTAATGATGTGGAAAGCATTAAAAAAAAAAAAAAATGGAAAGAATACACAAAATCACTGTACCAAAAGTTAATAGTTGATGTTCAACCATTTCAAGAGATAGCGTATGATCAAGAGCCAATGATAAGGAAGGAAGAAGTCCAAAGTGCATTTAAGGAAATGGCAAAAAAAAAAAAGCATCTGGAATTGGTGGAATAAAAATTGAAATCTTTCAAGAAACTGAGGTGGCACTGGAAGCACTCCCTCATCTATATCAAGAAATTTGGAAGACAACCATCTGGTTGACTAATTGAAAGAGATTCATATTTGTGCCCATTCTAAAAAGAGGTGACTCAACGGAATGAGGAAACCATTCGACAATATCTTTGATATTCCATGTGAATAAAGTTTTACTAAAGGTAATATAGAAACAGCTGCAACCATTCATTGACAGAGAACTTCCAAAGGTTCAAGCCAGATTCAGAAGTGGCCATGGAACAAGGGGTATCATTGCTGATGTCCGATGGATCTTGGCTGAAAACAGAGAATACCAGAAAGATGTTTACCTGTGATTTATTGACTATGCAAAGGCTTTCAATTGTGTGGATTATGACAAGCCATGGACAACATTGCAAAATATGAGTATTCCTGAACACTTAATTGTGCTCATGAGAAATCTGTATCTGGACCAAGAGGTAGTTGTTCTAAAAGAAAGTGAGAACACTGAATGGTTTAAAAATAAGAAAGGTGTGCAACAGGGTTGAAGTCTTTCACAATACTTACTTAACATGTATGCTGAACAAATAAGCTGAGAAGCTGGGTTGTATGAAGAAAAACGTGGCATCAGAATTGGAGGAAGACTCATTAACAACCTGCGATAGGCAGATGATACAACCTTGCTTGCTGAAAGTGAAGAGGACTTAACTTTCTTACTGATGAAGATCAAAGAGCATAGCCTCCTGTATAGATTGCATCTCAATGTAAAGAAAACAAAAATCCTCATCACTGGACAAATAAACAACTGTCTTATCAAGGGAGAAAAGATTGCAGTTATCAAAGACTTCAGTCTTGGATCAACCATCAACACTCATGGAAGCCGGAGTCAAGAAATCAAATGATGTAATGCACTAGGCAAAACTACAGCACAAGACTTTTTTTAAGTGTTGAAGAGCAAAGATGTCAGCTTGAGGACTGAGGTATGCCTGACCCAAGCCATGGTATTTTCAATAATCTCATATGCATGCAAAAGCTGGACAGTAAATAAGGAAGGTTGTAGAAGAATTGGTGCTTTTGAGTTATGGTGTTGGAGGATAATACTGAAAGTGCCATGGGCTGCCAAAAGAACCAACAGATCTGTGTTGGAAGAAGTGCAACCAGAGTGCTCCTTGGAGGCCAAGATGACCAAACTTCAACTCTCATACTTAGGACATATTGTCAGGAGGGACCAGACACTGGAGAAGGCTACCATGTTTGGTAAGGTGGAGGGTCAGAGAAAAAGAGGAAGACCCCCAAAGAGATGGTTTGGCAAAGTTGCAGCATCAATGGTCTCAAGCGTGGCAATAATTGTGAGGTTTACCCAGGATTGGACTGTGTTTTGTTCTGTTGTGTATAGGGTGGCTATGAGTCAGTGCAGACTGGATGGCATCTAAAAGCAATAACAATGCAAATCTACCATCAGTATGGATTGCACTTCAATGTAAAGAAAAAGATAATCCTCACACTGGA